AAATAGCCAGGTGTTGCGGCGGGCACCTGGGTCCCAGCTACTTGGCAGGCAGAGGCAGGAGACTCGCTTGAGCCCAGGAGTTGGAGGTTGCTGTGAGCTGTGATGCCAACGGCACTCTACCCAGGGGGATAGCTTGAGGCTCTGTCTCAAAAAAAAAAAAGAAAGAAATTGGGATGAACAGCTAGTGTGTACACATTTCAGAAACAATGCTAAAAGTAGTAAGACAAAATAGCAAGATTTCATTTAAATAAAATTCAAAAGTTAACAATGGCTCGGTGCCTACAGCTCAAGTGGCTAAGGTGCCAGCCACATACACCAGAGCTGGCAGGTTCGAATCCAGCCTGGGCCCGCCAAATAACAATGACAGCTACAACCAAAAAATGGCCGGGCTCTATGGTGGGTACCTATAATCCTAGCTACTTGGGAGGCTGAGGCAGGAGAATCGCCTGAGCTCTGGAGATGGAGGTTGCTGTGAGCTGTGATGCCACAGTACTCTACCCAGGGAGACAGCTTGAGGCTCTGTCTCAAAAAATAATAACAAAACTAAACTATACTGTCGAAGGATACAAAGATGGTAAATGTAAAAAGAAAAATAATATGATTATCACAGATGTCAGAGTAGTAGTCACTTCTAGGGGTTGAGAATCTGCTAACTAGGAAGGGACTCATAAAAGGTTCAGGGATGCTACAATTGTTCTTTCTTTTAGAAGTAAAAGTTACATCAGAGTTCACTTAGTAATTTTTCATGAAAGTGTATAAAGATCACCTATTTTTATACAAACAGTTATTTCATGAATTTAATAAAAGGGGGAAAAAAATCAGCTTTTTGACATAGTCCACTAGCTCTAACCATAGTTTTGCCCTGGCCTAAAGAGTGAAAGACCAAAGAACATTCCTTTCCCCCTTTCAGCAAACAAGAGATTACTCATTTCTTCATGCAGCTACTTCAAATTAATAATAGAAATTACAATCTGATATAATAATTAGAGAAAGAAAGGAAGCATTTAAATCAGCGGTTCTCAACCTATGGTTGCAGCATTAGGAAGCCTGATCTAAGTGAAGCTTGGGGAGAACCTGAAACATATAGAACAAAATGCAGGGCAACAAAACAAAGGAAAATAATAGCTATTTATATAACACCTCATTCTAATGTTAACTCAGAAATAAAAGACCTTCCCAGATAAAAGGTGACTGTTTAAAAAGCAGACACAAAAGAAACAAACACACATCAAGTACAAACCACAAGTGATTAACAGAAAGCATGCAAGATTAAAGAAAGATATCTTTCATTCTGAAGCTGCCATAAAGGACAGCCACACCCAGAGCTCTTGACTTTGGTCATTTTTCTGAAACAAATGGAATCTACAAGAAAACCCAACCACTATTTGGTCTTTTGTTTGAAATAGCAACATAAGCTAGAAAGGGGATGTGGAAGTGCAGAGGTTCATGGAGAGGTACACAAACAATTCGTAACAGAAGACTAGGACAATCTTAGTTGATAAACTTATGGAAACATTATTTACAAACACCAATTTGAAAGGAAGATCTCAAATTTAACAGTTAAAAACAAAGATAATCCAGAACAAGTAGACCTAAAAGGTATATTAAAATTATAAGTGTATCCTAGATAACCTGATTGCTTCTCTTTGAACCATTAAGTTCTTGGAAAAGCTAATACCTTGTCATGCTATAATGCTATAATCTGCAAGTTGCACTGACTTATATGTTAAGAGAAGAAAACTGTCCAAGCAGGCTCCGCACCTGTAGCTCAATGGATAGGGAGCCAGTAATGTATGCCAGGGCTGGTAGGTTTGAACCCAGCCTGGGGCCTGCTAAACAATGACAACTACAACCAAAAATAGCTGGGCACTGTGGCAGGTGCCGGTAGTCCCAGCTACTTGGGAGGCTGAGGCAAGAGAATCGCTTAAGCCCAAGAGTCTGAGGTTGCTGTGAGCTGTGACACCATAGCACAATACCAAGGGCAACATAGTAAGACTCTGTATCAAAAAAATAAAAATAAAAAAACTGTCCAAGCAGCAAACTGTGGCTGGATTCAAAGATGCAGTCTCCCCACTTTTTATAGCACCTAGAAGTCTCTGGCAGACAGCACCCAAAATGAGTGACAGGATTTGTGAGGTTTCAACATACCAGAAAAATCTGTGCACATGTACTTTCAGCATATGAACAATTTTAACTCACCAGTCACCATGTTGCATGTATTTCTGCTGCTTGTCCTGAGTTCTCAAGACTTCTAACATTCTGAAGAAGATAGAACAAGAAAGTTCTTTCCATCCTGAACCTCAATTTTTAACTTTGTTCTTAAAAAAATACAGTACATTAGAAAGAACTATCCCATCATTATTAAATTTAATTGCTAACTTTATTCCTCTTAGCTTCCTTTTCCTTAAACTTAGTGAAGCAAGACTGGAAAACATAAATTAGCATGTTTTATCTTAGAAAAAAGAGGTGCAAATTTTTCTAGGGCAAACCTAGAATTCCCCTTAGGATCAGAATACAGTGCTGGGGTGAAAAAGAGCTGAAAAGGACTGAAATCGTAAATCAAAACTGACCTTCACAGGGATATATGAATTATCTGCTAGAGAACTGTGGAATTGAAAAAAAAAGCACTGACTCTCAGGTTGTTCAATTTTGTTTTAGGCAACTTTTTTGGCGGAGGCAACAGCAGGCCCTTAGTACAACAGACTAAAGAAAGACCCTCCCATTCAAGCAGAAGACAAGACTGCATTTAAGGATTCAAAGTGGCATTTTAGAGCTCAGAGAAATGCAAATCTTCCACAAAAGACGAGTCCCTTCCAGAGTGCACAGATGTGACGTGTATGAGTTGCGCATATAGAAGAATTAGTTTATAATGAAAAGAAAGCAAGTACTACTTAAGGACCTTCTGATGTTAACCTTCCCTCCCCGGTACAAACCACCAACCCGAAGTGAGGAAACCTGAGGGGGTTCACTGCCCTCTCAAGCAAAAAGGGTTCTGAAGCAGGGAAGCACTCCCGCCCCAAGCACCCACCCCGCACTTGGGCCTCAAATAACCGCATTCTTCAAGTACAGGGAATCTCGCCCGCCTCGCAGAGGAGCGGAGCTACAACCTAGACACCAAAGCCAGTTGGTTTCTCCCCAGGCCTAGGCCACAGACGCCCAGAGACGTCACCAGAGAAGGAAAGGCCTAGCCCGCAACCTTCCCCGCGCAGGAAGCTCTCGCTCAGCTCAACAGAGGCGCCTGCGCGCTCTCGAAGAGGCACCACCGCCACCCAACAGCAGGGCGCGCGCGCCAAAACTGGGGTCTTAGCGCGCGCGCGCCCCGGAAAGCCGCTCTTGCCCACGGGCCACAGCTCCAAAAGCCGAAATATCCGGGCCGGGGACGCGCACGTCGGCGGCCACGCGCGTCGGGAAGGCCGCACAGCGCGCGCGCGCCCGCCGGCGCATAAAAACAGGTTCGGTCGCGCGCCCGCCCTAGCGCGCGCTCGTGCGCCGCGCCCACCTAAATCCCTAACCAACCCCTCCCCCACCCGCAGGGCGGGGGCTCGAGAGCCCAGGGACGTTCTCGACTCAGGAGCCGCCCGGAGGTCCCTTGGGCCCAGCGGCGGCGGCTCACCCACCCCCGCCCGTCGTTGTGTGGGGTAGGCCTGCTATCCCAGGCCCACAGCCTCGCCACATCCCCACCTCTACCGGAGCCCTCACCCGGCGACGTCACCGCCGCCGCCGACTCTGCTCTACCCGCTGGCCCCGCCGCACCGCCCGGGACCCCGGTTCTGCCGTCGCCGCTCTAACACCGACAGGATTTTCTCCTCACAGCTCCCTGGGCGCCATCTTACATTCAACCCTCACAGCCAATGGGTGCCGAATACCTCTCTCGCGAGAATCGGTGCGTCGGATCCCGCGAGATTTGGGGCTGTCTCCTGACCAGACTTAAAGTGAACGTTTCAGGCAGCCAGGGAGGTAGGCCGCGCCTACGGTTGCTATACATGCAAGTGGAACCCGGGGTGTGGGGTAGGTCGCCCCTCCCACAGACGCCCCTATTTACGGGGCGGAGCCAAGGCTGGGGCTGGGCCTGGAGGTGGAGTTCGAAGTTTGTTCGGTGGACCCACCTTCTTCTGGTCAAGCAGCAAAACGCGGCGTGAGGCCCTACACGGACCAGCCTCTCGCTTAAGGTGGGCCCCACAAATCTCTGACCCAAGCCTGGAGTTTCCAGCCGTGTGCCACTGGGTAGTCCCTGAGCCGCTCACCTTTTGGAGGACACAGTGTCTGGGACCTTCCCCACCATCTGTTGCCATCTGAGTTCAGCCTTCCTCAGTCAGGTCCACCTTAAAGCGGGCCTCGGGTAGCCTTGTGTTTGTATACAGGGAAAATGTGCAAGGCATTAAAGCCGCAGGCACATGCAGGCAAGCTAGCCCAGAGGGTGACTAGCCTTTTGTAGACACTCATTGCCTCCAGTCTTTCGCACTTGTTCAGTCTTTTGGGATAACTCTCAGAAGTCACGCCTAAAAATAGTCAGCTGGAAGCCAGGCTGGGTCAGTAACCTCTTCTGGCCTTGCACAGGTCAAGGGAGACCTCTCCCAAACGGTCAGTGCCTGGTCTCCAGGTCTCCCCTAGATAATGAACTCGGAAGGCTATCACGACATGTATGCCTCATCTCGCTGTGCTGGACGCACAATAAACACCCAGTAATTATTTACTGAATGGCTGGACTGGGAGCCAAGCCTCTTTATCTTTCCACAGGCAGACAAACCTACTAGATCCCTCCCACACCAGAAGTCATGGAGCAGAACCTCAGGACCCTCATTCCCTTAAACCAGGTGCAGAGGATAATAACCCCAGCTAGGCCCTTCCCTTGCCCAGTAGTTTCAAAGCTGTCAGTGTCATCTTTCCTGGAGAAGCCCATTCTCACAGACAAAACATGCACAAGGCGCATACCTCCCCCACCCCCTACACACAAAGTATGTCTCCAGGGCCCTCAGATGCTAGAAAGGCATATAGCAGTCTCCAGGGGAATTTAGCTGTTCTTTATTGACATGGAGTTTGGGGTGGTGAGGATACCCCCATCCCCAGGAGGTGGAAGATAGGTCCACAATGAGGTAGGTCCACAATGCTTCCAGCTCACACCTTCCCAGGGTCTTCCTTCAGTGACACAGTTCGGTTAAAAACAAGCTAGAGGAGAGAAGAAGAAAAATGTCCAAGGACCCAGACTGCCCCCTCATCCCAAGGAACTGAGGAAATACCAAGGGTCAGGAGACATACGTTCTCAATAACTTTGTGACTTTGAGTAAGGGATTAGATGGCTCTAGGCTAGAATTTCATACGGATTACAACCTCTATGCCTACCCCCTACTTGAGGATTAAGAAAACCATGGTGAATACAAAATTTTGTATGTGGACTTCAGAGTCAGTTTCCTCACCAGTAGAACATGAATGCCAACCCCTCAAGTGGTAACCATTAACTAAGGAAATATAGGCAAAGCACTTGGCCCAGCAAATGGTGGTCACCATCACTGTTGCAGAAAGGGTAAAGTCAAGTACCTGTCCCTGACGGCTGTCTGGATCCACGGAGAAGTACCCAAGACGCTCAAACTGAAACTTGTTGAAGGGTTTTGCCAAGGCGACGGAACAGTCCACTAACGCTGCCTCTATCACTTGCAGTGATGCCTGTAGGCAGGGAACTCACACAGCCATCCAGCCTGAGAGGCCTACCACTCTTACCCTAAACCCCATAAAGCCTACCGGGTTCAGGTCACTTAAGAATCCACCAGGCACCTCAACAGGATCTTCAGGGTTCTTGTGCTGGAATCTACAGCCAGAGTGAAAGTAAGACCCCCAGCTGCATAGCCACAGCAGGTAATGCCCATCTTATACCTGCCTCACCCTTGCTTTGTTCACTTACAATCGCTCATACAGGCGAATCTCACATGTCAGAGGCTGTGACACCCAGTGGATAAAGGCCTTGGGCTTCTCTCTAGCATCTACTCGTCTACAGGTCACCTCTAGATTCTCTACACAACCACTGGGACCCTGGAAGTAGAGGGAAAAGATCAGCAATCAGACCTGGGAACCACTACAAGCACCACAGGCTACGCTCAAATCCTGGCCCCAGCAGGCACTGCAGTAGGAAGAATGCAGCTGGTTCTTACCTTGACAACATGCTGCAGCTCAATGACATAGCCTGTATGCCTCAGACCCACAGGCTGGCCCCAAGCCAGGCGCTTAAAGCCTGGTTCTGGCTCCTAGAGGTAGGAGATGGGGTAGACATAAGAGTCTACAAGGGTGAAACAAGTAGGGCTCTCCCCCCACCTCCACGTCTCATAGGAGTTGGTTCATCTGAAGCAGGAAGTAGATGGATTGACAAAAAAAATAAGATGAAAGGATTCCGGAATGAGACTCAACAGCAAATAAGACTCCCAACCCTTGGCTCGGCACCTATAGCTCAACCGGCTAAGGCGCCAGCCACATACACCTAAGGTGGCGGGTTCGAATCCCCAGCCCGGACCCGCCAAACAAC